TCTCTTTCAGAATTCAGACTTGTTTTGTTACTGTTTTTCATATTTATTTCTTTGTTTTTTGTTGATTTTTAATCCCTCAAAAGTTGTTGCAGGCGAGTCTGTAGCCTGACATCCTTAGTTTAGAATTGTGTAAGTAAAATTTTGCTTTAGTTACATGTACCACATTTCGACATGAAAATTTATTTGAGTAGCATTTTGAAATACTCAGGCTCAAGCTTTCAATTAAGGTGTTCTTAGAAATGCTGATACCCATTCCACAAGACGAATTTTGAGATAATCGATTTTTGACATGATATGTAAGTTTTTAAAGGTGGGAAACTGGAAAAGCAAGGGTCGTCTCATTGAGGCCTGAAATTATTGGGTGGCCTCCTCTTTTAGTTTAAGTTTTTTCTTTAACCTGCCTCCTCCTCTTTAATCTTTTGGGGCACATAAATGTAGATTTTGAGTACCTTTTTTGAATTTTGATGCATTAAGTTTACATTAATAAGCATCCGCATAATACGCAAGGCAAAAATTGGAACGCCTTAGCTTGATAGCCAGATTATGAAACTAAAATAAGAGTTGCCCGAAAATTTCATGTCCTGCTTTTTATCCTCCTCTGGTTATTTGCACAAATAATCAAGTCATTATCACTGACAGATCACTCTTATTTTCCACAGAGCATGTAACAAGTTGATAACCCCCTTATTTTTTAAATGAAGAAAGGAAAACAGCCCCCGCTCCTACTAAGGCTCTTCAAAAAGTCATTGACTCCACGTCCCCCCTCTACATAATTAATAAAAGGTCCCTAAACTTCCTTGAATAAACTTTTCAACAACCAGTAAGAAATCCTGATAAAGTGAAGAAACAGAAAAAAAACTAACTGGAGCTCCGCTTTTAGGCTTGGCCAAATCCATGAATTCATCAACAACTCTCCGCTGAAGTGAAGGTGGCTAGTGGTGGATATTTACCGAGCCGCGAAGCAAGGTAATTATCCACCGCTGACTGCCGACACTAAAGTGGATAGTTTAAGTATACGCGAAAACAGTAACATAATGTAGCACAAAAAAATAATTTTAACTAATTTATTCCTGCAACGTGAGGGAGCGCAAAACTTGCGAGTTGTTCGGAGATGAAGAGCAAAGAATATTCGCAGCGCGCCTTTAACGCCGTCCACTGTTTTAGTATACTGTGTACTTATAAATGATATTTTGGGGAATAACGTCGGTCATTCCTTTGTTGATATAATAGAATGAAAATTACGATCTGTTTAAATATGAACTTGTTTGTGTTTTATCATGCTAGACGGTAGATCTCAATTGTAACTGAACATAATGAGTAGATGTCATGTACTGTTGAATAATGTCCTAGTGCTATCAACTTGTGTATACCCCATAAAGGATTCTAAAATTGGCCATTCAGTAATAGAGAAAGACAGTTGGCGAAAGGATAAGTGAATGAACAATGATAAAGGAGCGAGTAAATAAGTGAATTTAATGAGTTAGTGATTGAGTAAATGAATGAATAGTTGTTGCGTGAGAGGAAATAACAGCATTCATAACCTCATGAATAGTTTTTACAAAACTAGATGCAGATGAGGCAAGGTAGTGTACTTTGGAGTGAATTAAGGTGAGTTAGCCAAGAATGAAAACGATTTAGAAGGCGTTGGGGTAGACACAAGTGAACTACCGTTCATTTGCTCGGATTATGGTGGATTAGGTAATTTTTTGTATTATCAACTCAGTTGATAACATAAATTGGCCGCCGTAAAGAGTTTCAAATCTAACGTTTTGACTGTTAGCCTTTCGTCAGAGAGAATGACGAAGGGCTAAGCTTTGAAACTCCTTACGGAGGCCAATTTACGTTATCAACGCAGTTGATAATATTAAATTACCTAATCCACTATAATCCAAGCAAGCGAACTCTATTTCACTTGAAATTACCCTGTTATACTCTCCCATCGGCGCAACACCATAGTTTCTTAGAAACATACCCCTTTATGGTGGATTAGACTGATCTGGAATAAATTGTTTTGACGAATTTGACTGTTGTACTTTGCAATTAAAACTAGTAGATTGGGTTGGATTGTGGTGGGTCGGAAAAGGCGTAGCTAGAATTTCTTATGGTTAACTAGAGTGGATTTGGGTCGGATTAAATTGTATTAGAGTGCAATGGAGCGGACTGAGATAAATTTCGACGACTTTTCCACGCACAAAGTCGTGCAATTAAAGGTTATTTTATTGCACAATCAACAAAGATATCTTGCTGCAATAAATACAATTATTCATTGCCTAACTCGAGGCCTATGGCAAGTACGCTTTTACTTTATCAGTTTGAAATGCTAACCTCCATTTATTATTCGTCTTAAATTAGGGTGTTACATGCATGTTTTACTGTGGTCTATGATCAAAGGAAGGATTTTTTTGTTTCGTTTTTATGATAGTTTCTAGAACAGTTTCTTTAGAATGCTTATAGCCTGTTCCCAGTATTTATTTCTCGACGATTTCTCATGGTAGGGGATGGTAGTTTCGAGCACAATTTGTATTTCCTGGAAACAAATCCACTTTCGCTTTCGATGCTGCTGCCTTCAAGCGCTTCTCTAGGTCGTTTACGCTCATTTCTGTCTGGTGTAGCTGGTTTGTGTCATAGTGATTGTTGCTCATCACTGCAAAGGACTCGGCCTCTTCAGTTGGTTTTCCGGTCACCTTCCACACACAGCATCCCGCCGTCCAAACAGCCTGAGGAGTATCAAGGCTTAATGTTTTAGTTTTTACAGTAAATGTGTTGGTAATGGACGGCTTCGGGACGTCTTTGAGGCCATTTTCGGATCTGCCTGTCAGTAGGTAAAGGGTTCCTTGGCGAGTTTTGTTCCCACAGGTAGTTTTGGCATATTCTTTTATCTTATTCTCAAAATCGTTCCAAGGTCCGCTGTTTGATGCCTTAAACTGAGGTACAGTATTCGCAAGAGTGAAAGTATTCTTCATGTAAGTTTTGTCAAAGGAGTTGATACCTGAGGGATTCATATGGCCTCTGGTAAGTTGATCCCCATACTTGTTTTGAGCTTCTCGGTTGGCTTGTTTATAAGCATCGTTGAGACCAGAAACACCTATAATCATAAACCACATTCTTCGATGAATACAGATAACTTGATTACTTCTGACTTTAAATTATCAAATCATATTCTTATTAATACGATGACGATAGTGGTGATATTCTGTCGTTTACCACGATGATTAAATTACTAATTATAGACTGAAAGTGATCTTTTGACCATTCCAAGGAATCATGTCGCTTTTTTATCTCTTTTCTGAAATTTCGGGGGTATGAAGCCTTCTAATTGCACTTTCATTTCTCTTGAAAACATAGAGATTCTTTGCAAAACAGGCGTTGTTTTGCGGAAAAAAATTTAAGAAGAAGCAATATGGTGGCTTTCTCCACTTCATTAGTGACTTTGCGTGTTTTGAAGTAACGCAGGGTATACTCCAAGCCTTTGGATTTACTTTATGATTGATTGTCCTCCAAATAATCGGTCTTGTAATAAATAATTGTCAAATAGCCATTTACGTACCGGGAGGATTCCTCCACTTTGCATTTGGCCTCGAATTCGTGCCAATGTACTTTGCCTGCTCAGGTAAAACTCTGTAGGCTGAGTAAAAAGGAGTGTTTGTGGATGGATCGAAGAGAGAAACGAAAGAAGGGGGTGTTCCTTGTTGGATATCTTTTCCTCGATTAATGTCAGGAAGGCCAACTGGACGCTTGCCTTCAACGAAAAAAGCGGAAGCGGTAGGTCCGTCCCAGAGAAATTTTTTCCCTTCATTTGGCGATTCCTCTGAAGGAAAATCATACAATCGGTTACAATATTGCAAAACAAGGATCAGGTAGTTTCATTGGTTTAATCTAACAACTTAACTAGAATTAATTTAATCCATCGTGTTTGGCAAAAAATTTCCAGGCTAAGCATCCTTCACCCTTCACATAAGAACCATTCTAGGCTAAAATATCAATACAGAGTTTTTTCAGATATATTACAGTACATCGTACGCGATACAAAGAGGGCAAAAAAAAAACTAGCCTAAGCACTGGCAGTTTAATAAGACCACAATACTGTACTGTCAATACATCCATAACTGGGCAACATATTCGACTAACTAACCATGGAAAGGAGGGCACTATGAGGTTGACATACACCCACGAAGAGAGGATTCCTGTAGTGTAGTGAAGCCACAAAGGTACGTCACAAAGGCTTAAAAACATACGCTTTATTCCGAGCACACGAGGTACATCACTCCTCATTTTCCGGCTCTCGTACACACTTTAAGTTCCCAGATATATTTACGAACTACCGCTGTCCTAATGCACTACATTTCCCTTTTTAAAATAAATGTTGAGAACCCGATTTGGAACTTAAGTATAGTCTAATTCCATTCATATAAGAACGTACGGACGGAGGTTAACTTAAAAAACCTAGGTTCTTATATGCGGGTTTTTACCGTAGCTTTCGTTAGCTGCGTTTGATTGGTTTCGAATCGCTGGGTAAGGTGGCTCGTTTTCATCGGCCTGTTCCGGTAATGCTGTGAAAAAACTCATCTCAGAGTGCTGGTAGCTTGTCTTCAGTTAGTTGGTGCAGGTTTAATTTTCTTGGTGAAATAGTACAAGTCAAAGAAGATTGCAAACTTCTTTTTCAGGACCACGTGGTTATACTAGATGAATTTTGCAACGACCAGGCAAAGGGTATAAATTACGACAACTACTTCGACAATTATTTTTTCCATTAACACGCAATACATAATCAACTTCCACGACTGTGACGCACTTCAAGGGGAGCGCGTAACCACGGCCAGAACACACTTCTTTAAAGAGGAATCTTTCAGCAATCAGGCTACAAAAAGTCAATTCATGCGACCAAAAAACGAGTTCAGACGTGTCTTTTTCTTCGCAGAAACAAAACTACACGAATGACTAAATTAGATGGAGGACGCGAGAAACGAATGCTGATACAACTCCCACGACAGACCTGGCACAACGAACAGATGCCATAAACTCACGCATGTAATCAATTAAGAGACATATAGATTGTTTGTATCTACCAGTGGAATTTCTTTTTGAGGACTCGGTAACGGCTAACACTGAGATAGCAATTACTAAACACCAAACGGTTGTTGTCTTCATTTCCCTTGGTCCGGTCGTCTTATGCAGGATCTAAATGAACTGACATGAATTAAGAACTGTTCAGTAAGTGCTTAGACAGTCTTTTACTTCATTACTGTCGTGGAGTCAGTGAATTATAGGGCAGTATGATTCAGTGATTCATTTGTGTCTCGGTAAGTTTGGAATTCGAAGTCTGAAGTTATACTGAATTGGGTTTTAGCTATTACCTTATGATGAATAACTTGGCTATCATTCAGTAGTGGAAGGGCCCAGTTCGTCTTCTGTTCTCGCCCAAGACCCACACTACTAAAGTTTTTTTTCTTTCTTGGATTTCGCAGTCGTAGTTGTTATTCGTAAAATTCTCGTGAAAGTAGGTCAGGATTCTGATACCGTCAGTTGGTTTACAAGTTAGTACTTCGTGAGAATCAGAGTTAGAGTTAGATAGAAGTGATGAGATTCAGAGTCTGCCACATAATAATTAAAGAAAATAGATTGAATCTATTTTAAACAGACCTGTGGCAGAGAACAGAGATCAAAGACGAACCAAAGGGACAAAGTCCCTGGTGCCCTCCCCTTAGCGTGGAACGCTCTCTCGATAGATTCCACCTATCTGCGCCTTAACAATACTTTGAAATTGACATCAAACAGGTATGAAGTTATAACATCAGTTTAAAGGCATTTAAATGGAAATTCGTTGAAATTATCATCATAGTAACACGACGTTGGTGAGAAAGATAGTCTTCATGTGTCGCCTTTCATTTTTGCAACAAGCATGTGTTTTAGTATGAGCCCGGCTAAGCAAATATGGGTCAATATAAAATTACTCAGGTTAGCATGTTACGTAGTTAATGACACATTTACATCGCTTATTAAATAACTGATCTTGACTGAAAATATGCAGGAGATCATAAACTTAGGTCTTTTCATCTCTTGAAAGAAGTTAACCTTCTACATGGCAATGATGGGATTTGTGGCAAAATAAACGTTAACTTTCGTCATTTTTTCCTTCCCCTTCTCAATGATTTGGAACTAAGGTTTTTATTGCTTGGACACGTGGCATTGAGAGAAAGAACTGAATTCTTTGTTACTTGAAATTATTGATAGGAAAAAATGGAACTACACGTGGAAGGACAAGATAATAGAGCCGCTTTCTCGTGTATTTAATAATAGAGGTCTTCTTAAGGGGTTTTTGTGGTCGCTTTGTCGATCGTTTGCCAACACACTTGTCCGGTCTGTTTGGTTAAGGACAAATGTGACACTAGAATCATTTTTGTTCCTTAGAAAATTTGTGACGAATTGTCTAAGTTGAAATAACTCTTTTTTCCCATGTGGGAATGTCCAGGGTGTCATTAAATCCGATTTTATTGATAAATTTGTAAATGAGTGGAAACATATAAACTGATTAAACAAAGTCAACGTGGGGAAAACCAATGAAGATTCGGAAGCTCATTTTGTTGTACCTTACCGAAATAACATATTTGAGTGAGCAATAGTAAAACTCTCCTCGTTTTGAAATGCCTTTCAAGTCTTAAGTTAGTTCAAATCGTTGTATGACTGATTTCGTAGAAACTCTCACTTTGTACTTTGTTTTTAATACAGGCGTGAAACGAGGTGCTATCTTAGATTTAATCAAGGAAGTGCTCAATTTGCCGAGAGATTTTAAGTTCCACCAACATAGTACCGTTTGTAATTACCTCGATCAGTGTGACATAAAAACTGAGGGTAGAGGATTTATCTAGCACACGAAGAAAAGTTTGTAAAATAATCTTAAAAAACGTTATTTCTTCGTATTGCAACTTACTTGAAATGTGGCGGAGTTTTTCATTAAAAGGGAAAGGGGAAGTGAGTTAGCTCCAGAACAAAACAAGCTATCTGACTTTGCTTTAGAGATCAATAATAATAAATAGATTTCATAATTGGCAGAGTTATGCATCCCATGGTTACTCACCAAGAGTTGATAGGTGGTGATCACAGCAATAACGGAAGGCTGAAGAGTCGTGCTGTAGCTGTAAGCGAGGGTTCAATATATTTTAAAAGTTTGCGATGGACGTTCGGTAATTTTGTTGTTCTTAATGCATGACGTTGACACTGGCTTTTGAAAGATGTATCAAATTACTCCACCTGCTTGAAGAGCTCATTTAGGCAATGGCCTATTTGAAGTAGGAAATGAACAACGTATTGCTCTGACAACAGGCAAGGGATTAAAATAGTTTTGCTATTTTGAAGTTTCAGAATCGCAGCAATTGTGTTTGTTTAATTTGGACTTAGGAACGAGGAAAGTCAGGTAGGGTTAGGCTAATGTGTTACACCATAATGGCCCAAATTTTTCTGAAGCAATCTAATGTATTTTCATGAATTAATGATATCTATTCTTCGAATTCTTAGGCGGCCAAATAACAATAAACCTTTGAACTATTGGCAGAGGCTTACTCTTTTTGTTACTTTGATTTTCATGCTTTTCCATAGAAGTAGAAAGGAATACCCTGAGGAATTGTCGTATCAAGGAAAAGGAATGTAAAAAATTTATTTTTAGACAACGGTTCTTTTGAGTCTTCTTGTAAGTGCACCCATTTGCGCGATGAATGCACAGCTTTTCTTTCCTCATATTTCATTATTAGAGAAAATTCCTCTTTCTTTCAAAAAGGTTTTCCAAAAGTACCGTGAAAGGGAATCAGTTTAAATTGATTGATTCAAGTAAAAACTAAATCCCAACACTGCAGTTTAAACCACGTTAAAGGGGATAAGGGGTTGCTTCTATCGTTGTGAGAAATTTTGAGGATATAGCCGAACCGGATTTCCATACATTTTCGTCAATAATTTTAAAAGGTCGCTCACCGGGTTCTAAGATCAACAGGTACCTGTTACCACCAGATAAGTCAAGAAATGAGTGCGAACCTTCTGCTAGGTTCTGAAGTAGGTTTAGAATGTCCAAATGGGCTGTGAATATTCTCAAAATTGAAATGATTTTTAGAGACAAAGCGTTTTGAAAAACATTCAGTCAGTAAAGCAAACAATGATAACTGAATTTGAAAAAAGGCGGCGGTTTTACGTAGTTTCTAAATTTTCTGTTAGGTCGAGAATTGGACAATTTTTAGGTTACGAGGTCAGATAAAGAATAAAGAAATTCTGTTTTGACTCGGATATTAAATTATCAGTGTAAGTTCATGCTGCCGTTTAGTTGAATAGAAAATGAAGATGGCTTTTGGAGTAATTCATCTTCTTCATAACAAATTTTCCCTCCATTGTTCTTGTACAATCAACACTCATATTCTTTCATCTGGCAATTTTTTTTTATCGTGACTTTTTGATAAGAACGTCTAGTCTGGGAAATTTGGCTAAATACGTTATTATATGTCCGCCATTAGGTTTTACATGAATGTTATTACGTTCTTATTCAACCCGACTAAAGATTGGAGCGATGTTGTGACACTTTGATGTTTATCTACCGACGATTTTCCCTAAAGTTGGAGTTATTAAAATAAATTTAGCCAAAGGAAAGTAAAACTAGCTCGAGTTAACAGGGAGTTCGAGTTAGTCGTGTTCGAGTTAGCTGTTAGTAAATGACTGGAAAATGGGGTCGAACTCAGGGGAAATCGGGCATGTAAATTAGGGCTTTGTATGCATGTTTTACTGGGGTCTAAAAGTGTGCTAGAGTTCCTTTTTTCGGGCTTTCGTTGTCAAAGATTGTTCGTTTGATCAGAAACGTCAGGTAAGCTGTTGTTCATTCGTACAATTCTCGTGAAAGTAGGTCAGGATTCCGATACGGTCAGTTGGTTTGTAAGTTAGTCCTTCGTTAGAGTCAGAGTTAGAGTTAGATAGAAGTGATGAGATTCAGAGTCTCCCACATAGTGATTAAAGAAAAGAGAAGAAGCATGAGTCAATATAAATTTGGTCAGGCTAGTATGTTACATTATGAATGACAAATTTACACCGCATATTAAGTAACTTATTTTTACTGAAAATATGAAGGAAATCATAAACTCAGGTTATTATCTCTTGAAAGAAGTTAACCTTCTTCATTACAATGATGGGATTTGTAGCAATGTGAACCTTAACTTTCATCCTTTTTTCGGCTTCCCCTTCACAATGATTTTAAACTAAGACCTTCATTGTTTGGAAACGTGGTATTGAGAGAAAGAACTGAATTCTTTATTACTCGAAATTATTGAAAGAAAAAAAATGGACTACAGAAGGACAGGATAAAAGAGCCGCCATTTCGTGTTTTAAAAAATTGAGGTCTTGTGAGGGGATTTTTTTATGTCGCTTTATCGCTCGATTGCCGACACACCTGTTCGGTTTGTTTGGTTAGGGGCAAATGTGACACTAGAATTGTTTTTATTCCTTAGAAAATTTGTGGCGAATTGTCTGAGTTGAAATAAATGCATTTTTTTCCTAGCATGAATGATGAGGATGTCACACAAACATTTCATTGATAAATTTGTAAATGAGTGGAAACTTATAACTGATTAAAAAAAGTCGACATAGGAACAACCTTGAAGTGAAGATTCGGATGAATTGATGGTGGAACGTGTTCGAATGAGCAATTGTAAAAAAACTCTCCTCGTTTTGAAATGTCTCTTCTCAAATCAATTTAAATCGTAGTATGACTGATATCGTGGAAACTCTCTTTGTTCTTTGTTTTTTAATACAGAAACGAGGTGTTATTAAAGAATTAAGAAAATGCGTAATTTGCCGAGAGATATGAAGTTGCACCAACATAGTACCCGTTTGTAATATCTACAATCTGTGTGACATAAAAACTTAGGGTGGAGGTGTTATCTCTTAAAATCTAGTGTACGAAGAAAGGTCGTAAAATACAATTTCAAAAACATATTTTCTTCGTATTGCAACTTACTTGAAATGCGTCAGAGTTTTCCATTATAAAGGAAATGGGAAGTGAGGTAGTTCCAAGACAAAACAAGCTATCCGACTTTGCTTTTAAAAATCAATAATAACAAAGAGATTTCATAATTGGTAGAGTTATGCATCTCATGATTACTTACCAAGCGGGTGATATGTGGCGAACACAGCTATAACGGAGAGGTGAACAGTCGTTCTGTAGCTTTAAGCGAGGGTTCAATATGTTGTAAACGTTTGCGACGGACGTTCAATAATTCTGTTGTTCAATATGTTGATTCTTAATGCATGACTTTGACATTAGGTTTTGAAAGATGAATCAAATTATTCCACCTGCTTGAAGAACTCATTTAGGCAATTAGATATATTTGAATTAGGAAAATGAGCAACGTATTGTCCTATGGATTAAAAAAATTGCTATGCTATTTCGAAGTTTCAGAGATTTTCAGTGATTTTGCAGCAATTGTGTTTCACTAATTTGGACTTAGAAGAGAGGAAAGTCAGTTATGGTGAGGCTAACGTGTTGCGCCATATTGGCTCAGATTTTTCTAAAGCATAAAGTATTTTCATAAATTAATGATATCTGTTTTTCGAATTCCCAGTCGGGTAAATAGCAATAAACCTTTGAAGACCATGAATCGTAATGAAATCAATCAACTCTTCAGCGCCATCTTGCTGTTTCATATTTCAGTGATTGTTGTGTTGCCATGCACATCAAATATTAATTTTTTATTATTAACTCAGCGGGAAAGCTCCTGTGGGTAGTGATGATCTGTCACTTACATCTGACGGATACTTCAGCATCTGTTTAGAGGAGCTTTTACTTCATAAAAAGGTAAAATTATTGAGGCAAATGAACGATTTATATCAATGATGTGGACAAATCCTCGAGGCTAAGTTCTTATCCCTGAGCGTGTTAACTTTCGGTGAGCCCGTTTCATTTTCTTTTTGGAGGATGGAGAGCGGCTGTATACGAGTAAGCAAAGGTGTTTTTGCTTTGCGGGAGTTACCAAATTCAAAAAGAGTCATATGAAGTACAGTTTCATCTTCTCCATCAACGATGAATTAATTCAAGTCCAGGAAATTGCACATTTCCATCTAGACTGAAGGTTCAAGCTTTTTTTAAAAAAGAGCATCATAACAATATTTTCCTGATGATTGGAGAATTTTCTGTGGGCTTGCTCGCCGGGACAGGTACAAGTCGATCAATTATACGTTGGGAATTAATTAGAACCTAGGATCAATTAGCCTCTGATACTCGCTGGTCTTCATAAAAAAGTCATCCGCATTATCATATCATGGTCAAGGCTTGTCTAACTCTCAGCAAACCGGAAGAAAATTTTTGCACTTATAGAAATCATATTGTCACAATGTTTTATTTGGGGATATAATGTTTCTATTACACGTAATCTAAGTATTGAAATATTACGTCTTCATTGGTCAATGATGAGGGGGACCGGATCCTACTCGGTTTCTCTAGCCTGCAGGCTCTCCACTTCCAGCATCCTCGCACTCGACATTGTTCGGCCAATCACAGACAAGTATTGCAGGATTGAACTTAAGTCCCGCAGGACATGACATTTCATGTGTGGTACCAGCCATGTCACACATTATGAAACCAAAGCAGTTATTAGGATCAGCGTGCACCCCAGCTGCATGGCTTTGACAAAAATCTGGAAAAGAAATAAGGGAGAGTGAATAAGAGAATTCTTCCGCCAGAAGTTAGACTAAGGTGTAAAATAAGACATCCAGGTGAGTTGATGTTTTTTTTTAACGGCGGAATGTAAGGAATAGCTAAATAAGATACATTTTCCCGACGTTGATGAAGAGGACTTGGCCACCGGAAGGCGATGTAAAGAAATTCTCTGAAAGTCAATGATTGTGTTTGAGATTAACAATGAGGCCGCCTTTATCTTCGATGACGGCAAATAATGCGGTTTTAATCATATGTCCACACATGTAAAGAGATACGTCACGTAATTTTGAAGAACTTTTATTATCCCAGCAATAAATCTTCAGTAAATAATCATGCACCTCAAAGAAGAGAAACACTAAAGAGGGACACGACGATGTAAATTACTAAACATGAAAAAATTAAGGTCGAAGTCTTCAAGATAGACAAACCGTGACGAATTTCCTTTTAACGGGTCCCCAATTCTTTTTTTTTCACTTCTCCTCTG